AAACTTTAGTTCACCGAAGAGGCTGCAGATGCAGAGGCTTGGATGGAAGAGCAAGCTATACGCTTGGAAAACAACTATAATCGCACTGATTTTGACCTAGAAGAAGGAGAAAGACTTCTACGTGAATTGGATGAGATGAAGGTTAGATATTCGATGATTTTTTATGCAGCCGGTTGGGAATATTGAAAGAAATGTAGCTGTTTTACCTGTTTTGTTTTTCTGTAGCATGAAAAACTAAATAGTTAGTACGATCCCCAGCCCAGTTTTTTTTTTGAAAAAAAGAGCTGTTTGTGCGGCAGGCTGTGCGGCAAAAAAAGATCTGCTTGTGCGCTTTAAAATTGGATTTTAGGGCAACAGCATTATTTTAGGAGATCTTGAACAAATACCACTCCGTATTAATGGCCTTGACTGAACGCTGCGCAACTATCTCACCCCTTTGGCAAAGAGGAGAGCGCATCTCTCGTCCTATCGCTGTAACAGCGTTGTGTGATTACTCGGACAAAACCGTTCATATCAAAGCTGGTTAGTCAGGGTCACGATGCTGAGTTACTGCATAGATATCAAAAAATATCTTTTAGGTGATGAGGTGACTTTACTGGATAATTCCGACTTGATCAAATGGCAAGTGCGCGATCTTTCCGGCGCCGAAGGAACAGTACCATCTGTCGTATTCCGCATTCCACCTCCAGATCCAAAGTTGACAGCCTACTTGAATCGGCTACTGCAACAATTCGAGAAACTGAAGAAGCTATGGGAAAAGAAGCATCGCATGGTCCGCTTCAACATGGTGTTGAATACAATGAAAACCATCCAGTAAGCATTCCAGTTGCTCCTTATGTGATTTCGATTAGCTGTCGGGCTAATGAGAGCTTTTTTTAGGGGTTGGGACCTCGATACGTTCAACGCTATCGACCCTGAACAACGCGATGCTATCATGCGTGCTCTGAATGACGATGCTAATAAGTTATTGGCAGAAATGGATCCCAATGACCCACTTGCCTTACGTTTGAAAGAGGAACTCAGACGCACAAACGAACACTTCTGGAACTTGCTAAATGCGAGCCAGAAGCCTCCTGGTTCGTAGCAATTCTAATTTGTTGGTTAATTGTCTTGATCATCCAGCACATTTCAGAGCCAGACCATTCTTCATTATTCGACGAGAAAATAGGTGATCTCCTGAGAAAACTTGAGGATGCTTGGCGTAAGCTCAATGATAATGCTGGAAAACCGCTTTCGAGAAATCCTGATGAGCTAGAACGTGTGATAGTAGATCACAAGAGTTTCGAAGACGCTCTGCAGGTAATACATCGTTTTTACTAATTCAATAGACGGTCACTTCGAAAGATTAACGATTACTATCCAGGCCTTGGACGCAGATGTTGCCAACATTAAAGAGTTGTTCCGTCAACTTCCTAATCCCACACCCACCCAAAGGGTCAACAGTGATAGGCTCAACAGTCTTTGGGAAGATCTATGGGACTTGTCGCGCATGTACGTCGAGAGGATCAAGGTATGACGATTTTTAGCCTTCTTTCATATGAACAGTATGATCATCATACGCATATAGGTGCTTGAATCCGTGCTTAACGGCATGCTGGAGGTGTCTGACATCGTTCGAGCACATGAAATCACTTTGAACTCGTTTGACGATCTACCAGCAGCTCTTGACAAATTACGTGGCCATCATTCTCAACTTCT